CGTACCCTCTCAGCCTTCTGGCTCGCTACGTGGCTCCCGGTAGGCACCGAAAGGTGCACTGGGATGCTGCGAAGAGGGTACTGCGTTACCTGTGCAGTACGTCGGGCATGGGGCTTGTGCTTGGAGGACGGGGTCCAGTTGTCCTCACTGGTCACGCAGACGCCTCCTGGGTTGACGACTCAGCTACGCAGCGGTCGTCGCAGGGTTACACCTTCAGCCTTGGGTCCGGCTCGGTTTCTTGGCGGTCTACCCACTCGTCTTTGGTTCTCAGCTCCAGTTGTGAGGCTGAGATCTACGCCGGAGCCATGGCTGCTCAGGAGCTACGCTGGCTCACCTACTTGCTGACCGACTTGGGAGAGCAGCCTCGTTTGCCTCCAGTCCTGTACGTAGACAACAAGACCATGATTGCCTTGTGTCAAGAGCACAGACTGGAGCACAGAACGAAGCACATCGCTCTGCGATACTTCCTTGCTCGAGAGTTGCAGCAGCGTGGCCAGCTTCGTCTAGCGTACGTGGCCACTCGGGCCAACACTGCTGATGTCTTCACCAAGGCACTTCCGCCTGGTGATCATCAGCGCTTTGTAACTGTGTTAGGCCTTGTGCCTACTTTGCCTCACTTGCTTACTGCCTGACTCTGCTTGTACTGTGATATATATATATACCTGCATGCTTGCACTTGCTAGGGTATGATCACTGTATTGTTTGTTCTCTTTATATAACTCTGCATGTGAACTGGCCTTGTGGCCCTTTGCTTGTGCTCGGACTGTGTGGTGACTTTGTGATCCACCCTGAGCTTGCTTTGCTTTGCTTCTTCTCTTGACTGGTCTTGTGACCATTGCTTGCTCTTGCTATCACCCACTTCGCCTATGGGGGTTTGTCAAACATATGTGTTTATAATTCTCTAGGCTATAGTGGGTTTAGCCTTAGGGGGTACAGAATCTCTCTCGACATTCTACTTGTACCCCCCCCTTTCAACTAATGCCATCATTCTCGTCACTATTCTAACACATAATCTCAGCGATATTCGGAGTGACGACTCGGTCGAAATCCCCGGTGTACGGCGAGAGATCGATGAATCGCCTTGCGCAAATACTGGGAGGGGACTCCGGTGTTGGTGGAGGTAACTCAAAGTCAGGTGGGATATTTGTTGGACGATTAATCCAGCTATGTATAGTAGGATCATTGTCTGGATTGGGTGCGATGGGGTTAATGGGCGCGATAGGTGGGAATTCGGTGCCATCATAGTATCGGATGCCTCTGCGACGGCGCGCCATGTAGCTCAAGATTGACCCCTTGTCTTTGTCCTTGGTTGAAATGCGTGCAGGAGTTTGCGAAGTGCTCGCGACGGAAGGAGGCGACAATGTGGCTGTTGCAGCAGGGGATGTCGAGGGTGCTGAGGACTGCTGGCCAGAGGAGTTGTTGCGTCTCTCATCGGCGGCCTTTCGTTTGTAGCACCGATAGATAGTGTGGCCGGGTTTCTTGTAGTACTTGCAGAATGTCCCTTTCTTACCATGCTGCTCCCCTTCAGCCGCTCTTGTGAAGAACACTATTTTTTCTTGTTTGTTGTTCTTCTCATTGTACAGATCAATCTCCTTCTGCTCGGAGAGAAGTGTGGCGCACAGGGCGGACTCGGAGATAGTTGCTCGAGCGCGGAGCAACGACTGACACTGACGCCAGTCGGGTCCAAGGCTGGAGAGAACCATGGAGACGAACATGTCGTCGGGAACAGTTCCGCCACACTTCTTAATGTGGTCGCGCAGATTGCGGCACCGGTTGATATACGGTCCCGATGTCTCCCCTTGTTGCATTTTAACCGATGTCAGTTGGCTAAGTAGGCGACTCATTGTAACGGGATCTGTTGCCATGTATGAGTTTTTCAGGTGCTCCCAAGATCCATACGCAGGTGCCCACTCTGACTTGTAGGAGCAAATGCCAAGCTGCTCGGAGGGGGAGAGGTTTAGGAGAAGAGTGGTGTACGCGAGAAGAGATTCGTGGTATTATTGATGCTTCTCCTGGATGGTTCCTTCCGATGGGAAAGGTAAGCTTCCATCATAATACATCCAGATCTGAGCGGTTGTTGCGAGGAGTTCGAATTCGAAGCTCCACGTGTAGAAGTCTTTGCCGTCGAATTGAGCTGAGGTCTTCAGCTTTGAAGTCAAACGATTTTTGTCTGTAAAGTCGCGATTGTTTCTGGATGTACTCGTTGTTGACTGTCTTGTGTATGAGCTGAAGCTTGACGGTTGTCAAAGGTGAAAGACCTCTCGGAATTGACGTGGCGGTCTTCTCTAGGGAGAGGGAGTCCAGCAACTCCTCTTGCGTAACTTGAGCCATCTATGCTCATAGCTTGATGGCTCTCAAGAGCGTTGATGCGGGCGACAAGCTGATCAATGAGAGCGGCGCTGATAGAGGTCACCGCTGATGGCGCAGTAGGCGTTGCTGGTGGTGGGCCTGGAGAATCTGCAGTGGCTTTTCGCTCGGGAGCCATTGTGATGTAGAGTTGTAGTAGTTTGTAATGAGTAATTTTTAACGAGTTTGTTCTAGGAAGAACAAGAATTTGACAGGCCTTATAATCCACTCTGGCTCTCATACCATGTTGTGAATAACAAAGATCGTGGTGGATAGAATAAGTTTGCTAAGTCTAGGAGAAGACAGTGAAGTCTTTGTAATGACCATGTTAATAAAATTTGAAAGAGAACAAGATGATAATAAGATAGAGATACAAGGGTATAAATAGCAAACTAGCTAGCCATGTACTCGGAGGGGTACATTCCCTTATTAACTGTATTGCATAGCTACAGTAACTGCGACTATTGCTATTCTCGACAGTTACCATATTGCATCGCGTAACCTCTGATGCGGTTGCCGGACGGTCAACAGTCGCGACCGTTGACTAACAGCGACTGTTGACTTTTGGGTGACTCTCGATCTTCTGCATGCTCTATACGAGCTATTGCGGTGCTGCTACAGACGCGTTGCTTCGTTATGAAGTGACGCGTGAGTGGAGATCCTTCGGGAATGTTAATTTAACCTTTCGGTTTTTCCAACAGGTTACACAAAAAATCACAAGTATTTGAGTATGGATAGCGTTAGAATCTTAGCTTAGCTTAGGAGCCATGGGAAGCATATCGTTAATGGTGAGAGTAACGTGAGACATAGTTGAGAAAAGAGGGCTTCAATAGTAGCAATGCAAACAAGTTATACGTGTCAGAATAGTAGCTAGGGGGTGAGACTAGGAGCCATCCTAGGGTTTAGGCTAGGCATGACTATCTGTTATTGTCTAGAGTCCACTTAGGGGTCACGGATGCCCTTGAAACCGCCTAAGCAGAATCTGATGACTTCGAACCGCCTCTGTTCAAAACGCCGTCACGATCAGCTCCAATAACATACGATGCTGAAACTTGGTGGAACGTTTTCTTCAGGTGTCTGCTTTCCAACGGTGTATTGCTTGCTTTCATCTGAGGTGTATGCCCTACGCAGTGAATGAAAACGTAAGCTCGGCTGAAAAACGTGTAGTTTCATTGATGCAAGGAAGAGGTGAGTACAACATTGCCTAGGGGACTCTTAAGGGGTTGGGACCATCCTGGGAACTCAGAGAAGGTTGAGCCATAGGGGAGAAAGGCTAGAGAAGGATGGGAAACATCCTAGCTAGGTCAGCAAAGCCAACCATACTTGGATGTTCAGAGCTATACTCAAGGCTACCAATAGTGAGTCAAGCCAACCATGAGTCAGCTTGTCTTCCCACTTGCACCCTCTTGCAAGCTGCTTCCAGGAAGACCACACTTCTCAAAAGGAGGGTGGTAGAGTCCCACTTGACCACCTGTACTTCTTGTCTCATTCTCTGTCCCTGCACCATTGGCATGACAACAATGAAAGGGTGGCAAGAGAAATGCTGCCAATAGTGCACCATGACTACGGAACAGTAACTTTCGACAGCTGCCACGTGCTGGGTTGTCCTTAAACTCGGTGACCACCTGCAAAACACAGCAAAGGACTGCCACACCGATTTTCAGACCAATCAGAGCTCGGTAGATGAGTCAGCAGCCGAAATGGTGAACTCGGGTGTTACCAAAAAAAGAGTAACACACACTTCCGGGATGCCATAAGTCTTGAAACTAAAAATGTTGCCATGCCTTGTAAACTGCTTAAAAAATTCTGAAACTTTGAGGGTGTAAAGATCACACGTTGAAGCACCTCCCCACAAAATTCCAGAAGCTGAGCAGGCTTGTAGGCTGAATGGGAGTGCGATGACCGTGCCACTATAGTACTTTGGCACAACACTATCGAGAGAATTGGAGCAAGAATGAGGGGTTTCACTATAGAGAGTGAAGTACAAATAGGGGAGGACAGGGGGTACACCACCAAGCAGGAAATTAGGATATCTACACTACAGCTAGAACTATATGCAGTTATAACAATATAATTCTAACACCCCCCCTTAACTGCATGCAAGAATAGCCAAGTGCAAGACACAACCTGCAGGGGTACACCAAGCAGAACAAAGAAGCAGCATGCAAGAGCAGTGACAACCAGTGCAGTAGTGGCAGATACAGCCGCAGTAAGCCCTGAGGCAAGAGAGAAACAGACAATAGTAGGTGCATGTGGCGCAGGTAGCATGGAGAGTAGGTGCGTGCGGCGAGAAAGGGTGGCGGCAACGCAGGGCTCAACGGCAGCACCTGCTGCTCAACAGCAGCAGAGAGACGAGACAAGCGAAGGCGGCGACAGGGGCTGCAGCAGGAGGAGCCACGGTAGCAGAGGGCGGCAGTTGCATATGCGTGGCTGCTTCGTCCGCCACTCTCTCTTACCCTCCCCCCACAGCTGCACGTTCGACAGTGAGAGAGAGAGGAGGGGCGGCTGCTGGCTTGACAGCATCTCGCTCACCACCCCCTCACTGCATCTCCTCCTACAGCCCGCCACCCACTCATCTCCCCCCCCCCCCACTGTAGAAGGTGCTGGTGCCAGCGACGTGCACGGGCGCACGTCGCTGGCGCTGGCGCTGGTGTTCACGACCAGCGGCGGGGCGAAGGGGCAGCGCATGGGACGGGGCGAGCAGGTGCAGCAGGCGCGATGGGACGGGATGGGCGGGCGCAGCGGGCACGACGGGACGGGATGGGCAGGCGCTTCGGGCGCGACGCGACGGGACGGGCAGGCGCCACTGGCGCGACGGGACGGGACGGGCAGGCGCTGCGGGCGCGACGGGACGGGACGCAGGGCAAAACTGGCCGCGCGCGTGTGGGTCCTGTCAAACTATATGTTTGTGTTCTCTCTAGGCTATAGTGGGTTAGCCTACAAGGGGTACAACACTTTAGGGTTAGTACTTGTACCCAACTCATTCATAGTTCATCCATTCCTACACAGTTGATTCTGACATGGTATTCAGAGCAGGAAACTTGTTAGGTTTTTAGGGCCCACCGATCGTTCCGCTAGTTCCTGCCCGAAGCGCCCTTGCGCTGTCCGGCCCTCTCGCATAGTGTCACGCTGCCCTGCAGCTACTCGCACTGCCTGCCCTAGCGCGCTGCCCTGCTGTCATGCGCGCCCTTGCTGCCTGCAAGCAGCTCCTGCCCCGCGCGCCCCTGCTGCCCGCGAGCAGCCCCTGCCCTGCGTGCCCCTGCTGCCCGCGAGCAGCCCCTGCCCCACGCGCCACTGCTGCCTTCGAGCAGCCCCTGCCCCAAGCGCCCTTGCTGCCCACGAGCAGCCCCTGCCCCGCGCGCCATTGCTGCCCGCGAGCAGCCCCTGACCCAAGCGCCCCTGCTGCCCGCGAGCAGCCCCTGCACTGCGCGCCCCTTCTGCCCGCGAGCAGCCCCGCAGCCCAACGCGCCCCGCAGCCCTAAACGCGCCAGCGCGCCCCGCAGCCCAGCGTGCCAGCGCGCCCCGCAGCCTAGCGCGCCAGTGCGCCCCGCAGCCCAGCGCGCCCCGCAGCCCAGCACGCCAGCGCGCCCCGCAGCCCAGCGCGCCAGAGCGCCAGAGCGCCCCACTGTGAAGTGCGCCAGCGCGCCCTGCTGCTAAGCGTGCCATTGCGCCCTGCAACCCTAAATAATAATCATCATCATTAAAAAAAAAAAAAAAAAAAAAAAAAAAACCCCAGCGCGCTCCGCTGCCCAGCGCCCTGCTGCTGCACACGCTGCTACTGCTGAGCTGTGCCCTGCTGAGTAGCGCTGCCCAGGCCGAGCCGCGCCGCCCAGCCCAAGCCGCCCTCCTGCTCGTACTACTGCTGCTACTGGTGGAGGTGCTGCTGGGAGTGCTGGAGGAGCTGCCACCTCGCCCCACCGAGCCGCCCTACTGCTACTACTGCTGCTGTTGCTGCTGCTGCTCGTGCTACTGCCGCTGCTGGTGGAGGTGCGGCTGGGAGTACTGGAGGTGTTGCTGGTGCTGGAGGTGCTGGACCTACTACTGACCGTCACTGCCTGTCATGGCAACTATCACGGCAGTTGCAGCGGCTAGGGGTGGACAGCAGCGGTCAGTGCCTCTCCCGGACGACCCCACCCCTCAACAGCTTCGTGACTGGGTTATTCAGCGAGGTAGTCCTAGTGGTGGAGGTTTTGGTTTTATGAGGCCTCAGCGACCTCGCGACTGTGCTTCTTAGCGATGCGTCCCTGGTCGTGTAGAGGCTGCTGCTCTCGGTTCTAGTGATTCTGCTGCCGCTCCAGGTGCTAGTGAGTCTGCCGCAGCTCTAGATGCTCGTGAGTCTGCCGACGCTCTAGGTGCTAGTGCATCTACTGCCACAGGTCCTGCCTCAGCTGAGGCCTTGCACACTTTCACGCTTGACTCAGGCGCGTCACGTTGCTTCATTTGTGATTGCACCACAGTCACACCACTCGTAGCACCTGTCCTAGTCTCACTGGCTGACCCCACTAGGGGCCCAGTGTCAGAATGTTATATTTGTCTAGCCTGCAGTGGGGTACTCAATAGTGAGTACAGCCCAATCTAGGGTTTGCTATATGTACTCAACTGCTTGCTAGTGAAACCTCTCTTCTCTGTTTCATTCATTCGCTCACATTCTAACATGGAATCAGAGCAGGTCGACCCCCCCGGGTCGATCCTGTGGATGGGCCCACCCAATGCTTCCGCTGCTGACCTGTCTGTCGCGCGCCCCGTGGCGCACGACGTTTTTTCTTCCCGCCACGCGCTCCGAGCGCGTGGCGGTTTTCTGCCCGCCGTGCGCCCCGAGGCGCACGGCGGTTTGCCTTCTCACGCGGGGCCCTGCGGGCCCGCGAGCTGCCCTGCCTGTCGCCCGTCGCGGAGCCCTGTGGGCCCGCGCGTCGCCCCCCCCCGTCCCGTAGCCCGTCGCGGCACCCCGGGGGGGCTCGGGCGCGGCCCTCTCGTCGCCTGTCGTGACGCCATCGGGGGCCCGCGCGGCCTTCCCCCCTTCCGTCGCCCGACGTGGTGCCATCGGGGGGCCGCGCGCGGCCCCCTCCTGTCACCAGTCACGGCGACCTGGGGGGCCGCGTGTCGCCCCCCCCCCCCCCGTCGCCCGTCGTGGCGCCCTAGGGGGCCGCGCGTCGCCCCCCCCCCCGTCGCCCGTCGTGGCGCCCTGGGGGGCCGCGCGTCGCCCCCCCCGTCGCCCGTCGTGACGCCCTGGGGGGCCGCGCGTTGGCCCCTTCCGTCCTTCGTCGCGGCCCTGCCCCCCCCCCCCCCCCCCCCCCCATAACCTCCCTACCCGCCACCTACGGCCCTGCCCTGTGTTAGGGTTTGGGGGTGGCGAGTAGGGGGTGGCGGGTGTGCGGCCTCCCCTGCTCCTCCTCCTCCTCCGTCTCCCACTGCTGCAGCTGCCGCTGAGGGGGGTGGGTGTGTGGAAGCCGACGGAGTGGTGCTAGGGGGTGGAGTGTGAGTGAAACTAGGGGTGCAGCAGGGGGTGTGTGAAAGGGGGGTGCGACAGTGGGGGAGGTTGCCCCAAGGGAAGTAGTCGTCGTGTTGCCAGCAGTGCCAGTAGTCCGAAGGTGTGCCTCCGGTAGCCCAGCGAGCCTGCTGCGCCAGTCGCCCGTGGGTCCGTTGCTCCTGCCGCTCGTCTTAGCCGCGGAGCCAGTTACTCCTGTAGTTCGGAGGTGCGCCTCCGGTAGCCACAGTGAGAAGATAACTCTACAACGGTAGTGAGCTAGACTATGGGGTTGGCACGAACTACTAGAGGTGATCGTAGCTTTGCCTAGTTCCTTGGTGCTTGCACAATCACGGGAGAAATTGGCAAGAGTTTTACTAGCAAAGTTGGAGTTTCAGAATTGTTGAACAAGCAGTGACAAGAGTGACTACATCAGGCGCCTAGCAACTCTGCAGCTATTCTGGTCGACAGACAGCACAGCATGGTCGACCGCCTGCGAGCGTTGCGTAGAGGAGCCGCGCCAGCACTGCAGAAAGGCGACTTGCCAACATAGCAAGTCGACGGTGTGCCAACACTGCAGCAGAGCGACTGTCCAGCGTTGCTCCGTAGAAGACAGCAGTGCGCACGCTCACAGATGTGCGCAGACGATTGGCCCGACTTGCACCGTTGTGCATCCGTCGGCTATTGTCTGCGCGTGACGAGCCACATCGGCTTCGGGATACCAACCCGAAGTCGCCTTTGCCATCGCGACCTCGACAACGTTTGCGTGCCTCCGCAGAACTCGCCGAGCAGGTTACCCGGTTGACCTGGACGACCCCAAGTGCCTCTGGTCGACCACCGATTTGTTGTCGACGCGGAGGATGGTCGGCTTCCCAGCGTCGAGTAGCTTGAATTCCGCAAGAAGGAAACGAAGTCGGTGTCCCTCCTTGCCCGCATTCGTGGCCGCAACGTACTCCGACTCTGTCGATGATAATGTCGCGCACTTGATGCGCGAACTCGACCAGGAAACGGCGGCCCCTCCGTAAACGAACACGTAGCCGCTCGTGCTCGTCCGATTTTGCTTGTCGCCCGCATCATCGGCGTCCACGTAGCCGATCAGCTCCAGCGACTCTGGTCCACCGCCGAACTCCAGGGCGGTGTCGCGGGTGTCAGCGAGGTAGGCAAGGCAGCGGTCGACCTCACGCCAATGCTGGTCGCTCCTCACCGTGAGGCCGCTCCCCAGCTTGCTGCAGGCGAACGCGATGTCCGGCCTTGTCGTCGTCGCCGCAAATTGCAGCGAGCCAACCTTTTGCCGGTACTCCTCCTCCTCGCACTCCTGCGCCTCCTCGTCGTCGAATGTCAGCTCGGTGTAGGCATCGACCGAGACCGGCGTCTTTGGGACTCGACCGCCCTGCTCATCGTCGATGAAGCGCCTGTGCAGCTTAGCGGCGTAGCCCTGCTGGTGAAGCCACAGCTTTCCTGCTGGCCTGTCGCGCACGATCTCCAGCCCGAGGTACTTGACGACCGGCGAAATCTCACGTAGCTCGAAGGCAGCTTCCAGTAGATCCTTTAGCTCCTTCAGCATCGCGGGACTGCTGCTGGCAGCGAGCAGGTCATCTACGTAGACCAGCACCCAGCAGGTCACTCCGTTGTCGCCGACCTTGAAATAGAGCGCCTCATTGACCTGGCTCTTCTTCCAGCCAGCGCCCAGCAGCACACCGTCGAGTGCCCTGTACCACAGCAGCGGCGATTGTTTCAGCCCGTAGAGGCTCTTCAGCAACTTACACACCCGGCCAGTCCCATCGTCGAAGTAGTCCGGCTGGTACATGTAAAGCACCCTGTCGAGCTTGCTCTGCAGGAAAGCGTTCTTCATGTCGAGCTGCATCAGGTTGAGGTCGAAGATGGCGACGATGCTGAGGAAGATCCTCAGCGTGACGTAGCTGCTCACCGGCGAGTACGTTTCGTCGTAGTTGGCACCGCACACCTGCGTGAAGCCCTTCACGACCAGCCTCGCCTTCTCGCGCTCGACGGTGTCGTCGAGGCGGTACTTGATCGTCAGCACCCACCGATTCTTCATGATGTTCACCCCGCGTGGGCGTTCGACCAGCTCCCAAGTGCCCATGCCGATGAGACTGCGGATCTCTTCTTCCATGGCGGCCTTCACCGCCTCACCCTTCCAGCTCGCCAGCGCCTCCTTTACCGTCATCGTGGCGATGTCCCAGCGGTGTTCGGGGTCTGCGTGCATTTCGGGGTCGAGCTTCGGCAGTTCGTCATCCTCCTCGGCGTCGTCGTACAACAGGTCATCGCTGGCTTTGTCGTACACAGCGGTGAAGGCAGCTGGCGGTAGGCAGGTGTGGAAGCTCAGCCGTTCCGGCGGCCGTCGAGCTCGATCTGTGCATTGCAGCTCAGGCTTCGAGATCGGTACCTCCACCACGTCACTGTCGGTGGACTCTTCTCCTGCCGACCGCTCCCCTTCTACGTCGACTGTCAAGTCGTCAACCAGCTGCTTCAAACCTTCGACGAGCTGCTGCTCACCTCCTGCTGACTTCGGTAACTCCCCTGTCGACTGTACCTCTGCCGCTGCCTCTTGTTTGACCGGCTCCCCTGTCTGCTGCTCCCCTGTCGTCGACGGCTTCCCATCCTCGTCGACGAGCTTGGCGCCTTGTTGACCGTCGGCGATGCCACTGGCCGGCGCCACAGGCGACACCTCAAGGCTCCCCTCATCGCCGGTGGCCGACACAGGTGTCGACGCCGACCGATCTGCGACGGGGAAGGGAGGAGCAAGAACCAGGGGAGGTGGAAGAACCTCCACAACATCCTCATCAGCAGGCTCATCGACTTCGACGAGCAGAAGAAGCGTCGCCGTCGAGGTGTCCGTCGGTGGGTGTGCCTGCGTCCGCCCCGACGCCGGTCCAAACTTCGCCTTCCACACCTCTAGCGACAGCATCTCGTAGAAGATCACCTCGACTGATGTGACCACCTTGTTGTCGGTCAGGTCGAGCACCTCCCAGCCCTTACTCTCCGGCGACACGCCCAGGTGAAGCCCCCAGCGAGCTTTCGGCGCCAGCTTCCCACCGCGCTGCTGCTCAGGAATCATGAACTGCACCATGCAGCCCCACACCCGTGCCAGCGTGAGGTTGGGCTTCTTCCCGCTCAGCAGCTGGTACGGAGTCGTCCCCGGCGGTGTCGTCGACCGCTCCAAGCAGTTGTGCACCCAGACAGC